CGGGGAAGGGAAAGGGAAGGGGCTTCCCTTCGACTCAATGACGACGTTGCTCAAGGTCGGTACGGGGGGGGGCGTCGTATCTGACTCGGAGAGGGGTCGCTACCCCCCCCCGCTATCCCCCCCCCCCTCCCGGCGGGGGAGGGATCAAAGGGAAGGGGCTTCCCTTCGACTCAATTACGAGGTTGCTCAAGGTCGGCTTGGCTGGAGCCCAGGGGTTGCTCAAGGTCGGCTTGGCTGGAGCCCAGGGGAAGAGGAGTCCCAGGGGGGGGCGTCGTATCTGACCCGGGGGGGGGGTCGCTACCCCCCCCCCCCTCCCGGCGGGGGAGGGATCAAAGGGAAGGGGCTTCCCTTCGACTCAATTACGAGGTTGCTCAAGGTCGGCTTGGCTGGAGCCCAGGGGAAGAGGAGTCCCAGGGGGGGCGTCGTATCTGACCCGGGGGGGGGGTCGGCACCCCCCCCCCCGTCCCGGCGGGGGAGGGTGAAAGGGAAGGGGCTTCCCTTCGACTCAATTACGAGGTTGCTCAAGGTCGGCTTGGCTGGACCCAGGGGAAGAGGAGTCCCAGGGGGGGGCGTCGTATCCGACCGGGGGGGGGGGGGTCCTACCCCCCCCCCGTCCCGGCGGGGAGGATGAAAGGGAAGGGGCTTCCCTTCGACTCAATTACGAGGTTGCTCAAGGTCGGCTTGGCTGGAGCCCAGGGGAAGAGGAGTCCCAGGGGGGGGCGTCGTATCTGACCCGCCCCCCCCCCCTCCCGGCGGGGGAGGGATCAAAGGGAAGGGGCTTCCCTTCGACTCAATTAACGAGGTTGCTCAAGGTCGGCTTGGCTGGAGCCCAGGGGAAGAGGAGTCCCAGGGGGGGGCGTCGTATCTGACCCGGGGGGGGGGGTCGCTACCCCCCCTCCCCCTCCCGGCGGGGGAGGGATCAAAGGGAAGGGGCTTCCCTTCGACTCAATTACGAGGTTGCTCAAGGTCGGCTTGGCTGGAGCCCAGGGGAAGAGGTCTCCCAGGGAAAGGGAAGGACAGAGACGACGAGTACCAAGAATGACGGAGATGACGGCTCGAACGGAAAAGCCCCTCACACACGCCGACAGGGTCGGCGGATTATGATATTTCCTCTCTCGCTTTTTCTCTCTCTCTCTCTCTCTCTCTCTCAATCTCTCCCACTCCCATTCCCATTCCCAATACCATTACCATTACCATTCCCATCCCCATTCCCATTCACATTCACATTACCATTACCCTTACCATTACCTCTACCTTTATCTTTACCTTTACCTTTACCATTACCATGACCATGGCCATTACAATTGCCATTGTCATTGCCATTGCCATTGCCATTGCCATTACCAGTGCCGTTGCCATTGCCATTGTATTGCCATTGCCAGTCGCCACCCGGTTACCATTACCGTTACCATTGCCATTACCATTACCATTCCCATTACTATTAGACATTACCATTATCATTGCCATTACCATTAGCATTACCAACACCATTGCCATTACCATTACCATTGCCATTACCATTACCGCTGCCACCACCATTACAATCACCATTCCCATCACCATTGCCATTACCGTTACCGTTACCAGTACCGTTTTCATTACCATTACCATTACCATTGCCATTATCAGTACCACTACCACTACCATTTCCATTCCCGTTCCCGTTCCACTTACCACTACGATTCCCATCCCCATCCCCATTACCATTACCAGTACCATTACCATGACCATGAAACTTACCATTACCATTACCATTGCCATGGCCATTGCTATTGCCATTGCCATTGCCGTTGCCATTCCCATTGCCATTGCCATTGCCATTGCCATTACCATTACCATTGCCATCGCCGTTGCCATTGCCATTGCCAGTCGCTACTCCGTTACCATTGCCATAACCATTACGGTTACCGTCACCATGACCATTCCCAGTACCATTACCATTACCTCCCCCATTGCCATTACCATTACCATTGCCATTGCCATTCGAAATTACCAATTTCATTGCCATTCGCCACTACCATTACATTACCATTGCCATTGCCATTGCCATTCGCCACTATCATTACCATTGCCAGTACCATTACCATTTCGATTCACATTCCCAATCCCAATACCATTACCATTACCATTACCATTACAACTGCCATTGCCATTACCATTCTCAATACCATTACCTCTACCTTTACCTGTACCCTTACCCTTACCATTCCCATTTCCGTTACCACTACCGTTGCCATTCCCGTTCCCATTCACATTCCCATTCCCATTTCCATTCCCATCCCCGTTCCCATTCACATTACCATTACCATTGCCATTGCCATTGCCATGGCAATTACCATAGCCATTGCCATTGCCATTGCCATTACCATTACCGTTGCCATTGTCATTGCCATTGCCATTGTCAATCGCTACCCTGTTACCATTATCATTACCATTACCAGTACCATTACCATTACCTCTGTCATTATCATTACCATTCGCATTGCCATTGCCTTTGCCATTAGCCACTATCATTACCATTGCCAGTACCATTTCCATTGCCATTCCCATTACCAGTATCATTTCCATTTCCATTACCATTACCATTACCTGTACCTCTACCTTTACCTTTACCCTTACCCTTATCATTCCCACTTCCGTTACCACTACCACTACCATGTCCATTCCCGTTCCCATTCCCATTCACATTATCATTCCCATTCCCAGTACCATTGCCATTACCATTACACTTACCATTGCCGTTGCCATTGCCATGGCCATTATCATTGTCGTTGCCATTGCCATTGCCAATCCCATTGTCATTGTCATTACTATTACTGTTGCCATTGTCATTGTCATTGCCATTGCCAATCGCTACCCCGTTACCATTACCGTTACCATTGCCATTACCAGTACCATTACCATTACCTCTGTCATTACCATTACCATTACCATTATCATTGCCATTGCCATTGCCATTGCCAGTCGCCACTACCATTACCATTGCCAGTACCATTCCCATTCCCATTCCCATTCCCATTACCGTTACCATTACCATTACCATTACCAATACCATTACCGTTACCATTACCGCTGCCATTACCATTAGTATGCCCATTCTCATTCCCATTCCCATTCCCAATACCATTACCATTTCCATTCCCATTACCGTTACCATTACCATTACCAGTGCCATTACCATTACCATTACCACCATCACTTCCATTCCCGTTCCCGTTCCCATTCCCACTCCCATTCCCATTACCATTACCATTACCACTGCCATTGCCATTGCCATTGCCATTACCATTACCATTACCTGTACCTCCACGTTTACCTTTACCCTTACCATTACCATTGCCATGGCCATTACCATTGCCATTGCCATTGCCATTGTCATTGCCATTCCCATTGCCATTGCCATTGCCATTACCATTACCGTTGCCATTGCCATTGCTATTGCCTCGCTACCCCGTTACCACTATCATTACCGTAGCCATTACCGGTACCATTACCATTACCACTGTCATTACCATTACCATTACCATTACCATTGCCATTGCCATTGCCATTGCCATTGCCATTCGAGGATTTCAGTAGGAATCATTCAGCGGACGGTTTCAGTAGGAATCCACATGTGGAGGATTCCAGTAGGAATCATTCAGTGGAGGGTTTCGATAGGAACCCTTCTGTCGAGGATTTCACTGTGAATCCTTCTTATGGGGGCGTTCAATAGGAATCCTTCTAGGGGGGAGGGCAGATGTGGCCACGTCGCATTCCTTTTTTTTTCTCCTGGCGTCCCCCCTCCCCCCCGAAAAAAAAAAACTTGTTTTTTGTTTTTTTTTGTCTGGGGGGGGGACGCCAGGAGAAAAAAAAAGGGCAGAGAGGTAGGAGGAGGGGGAGAGGGCGGAGGAGGAGGAGGAGGCGGAGGAGGAGGAGGCGGAGGAGGACGACACAGAGCAGAGTTTGCACAGAAACAGTCGCGAACTCAGCGCGAAAGCCTCGCGCGCGCGCTTTGGAACCACAGGGACTCCACAATCCCCCCGTTCTCGAGGAGGAGGAGGAGGAGGAGGAGGAGGAGGAGAAGGAGGAGGAGGGAAGGAGGAGGGGGAGGGGGGCGGATGATGAAGGAGAGGAGAGGAGGAGGAGAGGAGGGTGCGGTATGAGTGAGGAAGGGAGGAGGGAGGAGGATGATGATGAGGAGGAGGGCGGAGGGAGGAGGGGGGGGCGGAGGGAGAGGGGATGAAAAGAGGAGGAGAGGAGGAAGAGGAGGCCGGAGGAGGAGGAGGAGGAGGCGGGGGCGGAGGAGGAGGAGGAGAGGAGGAGGAGGAGGGAGAAGGCAGGCCCACCCCCCGGAGACCTCCAGAACATTCAAGCAAGTCTAAAAGTAATTTTCTCCCTCCATACTATCCCTGTCCCTCTTCCGTTTGCTGGAACCGCGTCCTTTGCAGCACCGCGCGTTGCAGCAGGGGCCAGGCTGGTGAGACGAAGTCCACCGAGCTCTAACACCTCTTCCCCGTCTCCTCCTCCTCCTCCTCCTCCATCTCCTCCTCCTCCTCATCATCCTCATCCTCATCCTCATCCTCATCCTCCATCCTCCTCCCCCTCCTCCTCCTCCTCCTCCTCCTCCTCCTCCTTCCTCCCGTTCCTGGCTCCTACTCCTCCTCCTGTTCCTCCTCTTCATCCTCCTCCTCCCTGCTCCTCTTCCTCCTCCTCCTGTTCCTCCTCTTCATCCTCCTCCTCCTGCTCCTCTTCCTCCTCCTCCTTCTCCTCCTCCTCCTCTTCCTCCTCCTCCTCCTCCTCCTCCTCCTCGCCAAAGGTCTCCGAGGGCCTCCGAGAGCCACACGAGGGCCCCTCGAGGGCCCGCCCGCGATGGCTCCCGAGCGCTTCCGAGCTCCCCCGAAGGCCTCCGAGAGCCTGTGGGGGCGTCGCCTACGAGGGGGGGCCCCCGAGGGGCGCCCCCCGAGGGGGGCCTCCGATGGGGCCCCGCGGAGGGGCCCACGGCGACCGCCGCTCCCCAGGCGCTGCCGCACGCCCGGGGCCTCAGCAAGCTCGTGCGGGCGCTGCAGCCGTGCAGGCAGCTGCCCCTGGCGGAGCCTCCGCCTCGGCTCGGCGCGGGGGCGGCGCTTCCCAGACGAGGAACAAGTAGCCATCCTGCTACCATTCGCCCGTCGTCCCCTCTGGGGGGCCTTCTGGGAGGCCCTCGTCGCCCTCCTGGGAGGCCCTCGTCGCCCTTCGTTGGCTTCACCGCGAACTTGTTGGTCAGAACGAGCCCCGGTAGAGGTCATAGCGGTATTGGCACCTTTTGGTTTCCCCGTCGTCGGGCCCTCGCCCGTTGCTGTTCATCGAGCTTCGCCGTGATGAGAAGGAGGAGGATGAGGAGGAGGATGAGGAGGATGCGAAGGAGGAGGAGGAGGAGGAGGGGGAGGAGGAGGAG